GGTTCCACGTGAACAGCAGTTGAATGTGGGTCAGTCGATCCTAAGATATTGGCTAGTGCCGTTTTTTAAAATAAAATAGAGGAATGGAGGTGTAATCCATCTGATAAATCGAAAGGGAAACGGGTTAATATTCCCGTACCTGGACACGGAGATAAATGCTCATCGTGAGAATTTAGCGCGGTAACGCAAATGAACTCGGAAACATTGAGGAAAGCCCGAGCCAGAGTTCTCTTTTCTGGTTAAGGAACGGACTCCCTGGAATCGGTTCAGCCGGAGATAGGGATGTTGTTTCCGTAAAGCGCCACGGTTCCTGTGGTGTCTCGTGCGCTTTGTTCGATCCATGAAAATCCGAGGGAAGCTATTTGAATTTCGTGCCAGATCGTACCCATATCCGCAGCAGGTCTCCAAGGTGAACAGCCTCTAGTCGATAGAATAATGTAGGTAAGGGAAGTCGGCAAATTAGATCCGTAACTTCGGGATAAGGATTGGCTCTAAGGACTGGGCCGGTCGGGCTGTAATGTGAAGTGAGTACGGTTTGATCCATGCAGTGTAACATTAAAATGAAAACATTAAAAAAAAAAATGTATTCATTTTGATGAAACTCGGCTAGTGTTCGAACTGTCTTATGGATCGTTTCAGCTGCATATCAACATTTATTTTTTTATTTTTTTTTTTAAAAAAGTAAATGTTTTATTTGATATTTCGGCCGGCGTTAAACAGTCAACTTAGAACTGGCACGGACTCGGGGAATCCGACTGTCTAATTAAAACAGAGGAGACAGATGGCCCTTGCGGGCGTTGACTGTCTCTGATTTCTGCCCAGTGCTCTGAATGTAAAAGTGAAGAAATTCAACCAAGCGCGGGTAAACGGCGGGAGTAACTATGACTCTCTTAAGGTAGCCAAATGCCTCGTCATCTAATTCGTGACGCGCATGAATGGATTAACGAGATTCCCACTGTCCCTATCTACTATCTAGCGAAACCACAGCCAAGGGAACGGGCTTGGCAAACACAGCGGGGAAAGAAGACCCTGTTGAGCTTGACTCTAGTCCGACTCTGTGAAGAGTCATGAGAGGTGTAGCATAAGTGGGAGGTTTTTTTTGTATTTATTATACAAATACCAACAGTGAAATACCACTACTTTCATCGATTCTTTACTTATTCGGTAAAACGAGAATTGAAATATTATATGTGTTTCGAAATTTTTGATTTAAGTTAAATCACTCGGTGATTTAACGACTCGCACCGAAGACAGTGTCAGGCGGGGAGTTTGACTGGGGCGGTACATCTGTCAAAACGTAACGCAGGTGTCCTAAGGCTAGCTCAGAGAGGACGGAAACCTCTCGTAGAGTAAAAGGGCAAAAGCTCGCTTGATCTTGATTTCCAGTACGAATACAGACCGCGAAAGCGTGGCCTATCGATCCTTTTGAATTTTTTAGAAGGTTTCTAGCAAGAGGTGTCAGAAAAGTTACCACAGGGATAACTGGCTTGTGGCAGCCAAGCGTTCATAGCGACGTTGCTTTTTGATCCTTCGATGTCGGCTCTTCCTATCATTGCGAAGCAGAATTCGCCAAGCGTTGGATTGTTCACCCACCAATAGGGAACGTGAGCTGGGTTTAGACCGTCGTGAGACAGGTTAGTTTTACCCTACTGTGATATGTTGTTGCGATAGTAATCCTGCTCAGTACGAGAGGAACCGCAGGTTCAGACATTTGGTTCATGTGCTTGGCCGATCGGCCAATGGTGCGAAGCTACCATCTGAGGGATTATGACTGAACGCCTCTAAGTCAGAATCCCACCTAGACAAGGCAACGATAAATTTGCTCCCTGGTGTTGGGAGGCACTATTATGTAATTATGAACATATTCATACTATTACAGCTAATGCCCCATTATATGGCCTTGCTATTTAATCGAATGGTTAAATGGTTGCCAAAACCGGATTACTCTGGTACAATGTCGGGGCGCAAGATCACTTGCAGACGACTTGATTACTGGTCAAGGTGTTGTAAGCAGTAGAGCAGCCTCCATACTGCGATCTGTTGAGACTTATCCTTTGATTGGACGATTTGTTTTTTTATTTATATATACTATAAATTAATCTTTTATTGTTATCTATATACATATATATATATATATATATAAAATATAAAATTAATTTATAGTATATATATATATATATATATATATATATAGATAACAATATAAAAGATTAATTTATAGTATATATATATATATATATATATATGTACATATATCCAAAAAAAAAAAAAAAACAATTAGTAATAGAACAAAGAAATATTCTAAAAGTATTTTTGTAATATTTTTATATACTATAAATTATTAATTTTTTAATTTTTTTTTTTTTCTGTTATACTTATAGAGAGCAGAATTGGTATTATTGTTAGATGACAATGATCGTCTAACTTGAGCAATGAATTGTCTCGTGAAACGAAAGTTTCAACAGACGAGCAATTGAATAGTAACATCAATCATGGCTACATTTAAAACAACGAATTTGTTGTTATATGTATACCTTGATATATATATAATGATAATGCAATCATAATATGATAGCATATATGTGAAATGCTCCGTTGTACTATTGGGAAGTATGTTATTGGAATTTTATTGTATTGTAAAATGGAAATTTAAATTTTGCTAATAAGCGAAGAAAATCATGTATGAATGAAATTTTGAAATAATAGATGAATGAATGAATGAAAGAAAACATAGCATAACAATTTTTATGCATGATATATTTAAGATATAATGCATAATGTTTGTGTATGTTTTCTTATTCTTTTTTTCATACATCTCCCCGATTGATTCTGTCGGCGGTTATATGCTTGTCTCAAAGGCTAAGCCATGCATGTCTAAGTTCAAATAAACCTATAATGGTGAAACCGCGAACGGCTCATTATAACAGCTATAATGTACTTGATGTTGATTATCTAACGTGGATAACTGTGGCAATTCTAGAGCTAATACATGCACCAAAGCTCCGAATTTTAAACGAGCGCATCTATTAGATTAAAACCAATCGGATTATTAATTTTAATCCGTTAATTGGTGACTCTGAATAGCTATGGCTGATCGCATGGTCTTGTACCGGCGACGTATCTATCAAGTGTCTGCCTTATCAACTTTCGATGGTAGTTTATGTGCCTACCATGGTTGTAACGGGTAACGGAGAATAAGGGTTCGACTCCGGAGAGGGAGCCTGAGAAACGGCTACCACATCCAAGGAAGGCAGCAGGCGCGCAAATTACCCACTCTCAGAATGAGGAGGTAGTGACGAAAAATAACGAGACCGTTCTCTTTGAGGCCGGTTATCGGAATGGGTACAATTTAAACCTGTTAACGAGGATCTATGAGAGGGCAAGTCTGGTGCCAGCAGCCGCGGTAATTCCAGCTCTCAAAGTGTATATCGTCATTGCTGCGGTTAAAAAGCTCGTAGTTGGATCTGCGTCTCAGGACCTGGTCCATCCATTGGATGAGAACTAGGCTCCTAGGCTAATATTGCCAGTTTTTCCATACGTTACCTTAATTGGTTGCATATGGTGGCTAGCAAGTTTACCTTGAAAAATTAGAGTGCTCAATGCGGGCTAATGCCTGAATACTCGTGCATGGAATAATGAAATAGGATCTCGGTTCTATTTTGTTGGTTTTCTGATCTGAGATAATGGTTAAGAGGGACGGACGGGGGCATTCGTATCGCTGCGTGAGAGGTGAAATTCTTGGACCGTAGCGAGACGTACGACTGCGAAAGCATTTGCCAAGAATGTCTTCATTAATCAAGAACGAAAGTCAGAGGTTCGAAGGCGATCAGATACCGCCCTAGTTCTGACCGTAAACGATACCAACTAGCGTTCCGTCGGCGGTAAATACGCCTTGACGGGCAGCTTCCCGGAAACGAAAGTTTTTCGGTTCCGGGGGAAGTATGGTTGCAAAGCTGAAACTTAAAGAAATTGACGGAAGGGCACCACCAGGAGTGGAGCCTGCGGCTTAATTTGACTCAACACGGGAAAACTCACCTGGCCCGGACACCGTGAGGATTGACAGATTGAGAGCTCTTTCATGATTCGGTGGTTGGTGGTGCATGGCCGTTCTTAGTTGGTGGAGTGATTTGTCTGGTTTATTCCGATAACGAGCGAGACTCTAGCCTACTAAATAGTTACTGGATAATTTTATCGTCCAGACAACTTCTTAGAGGGACAAGCGGTGTTTAGCCGCATGAAGTTGAGCAATAACAGGTCTGTGATGCCCTTAGATGTCCAGGGCTGCACGCGCGCTACACTGGAGGAATCAGCGTGCTGTAACCATTACCGAAAGGTATTGGTAACCCCTTGAAAATCCTCCGTGATCGGGATCGGGAATTGCAATTATTTCCCTTGAACGAGGAATTCCTAGTAAGTGTGAGTCATCAGCTCACGTTGATTACGTCCCTGCCCTTTGTACACACCGCCCGTCGCTGCCCGGGACTGAGCCGTTTCGAGAAAAGCGGAGACTGCTGTTTCAATACCTTTTCAAGGGTAGAGATTCTTTGGTGGAAACTGCTTTAATCGCAGTGGCTTGAACCGGGCAAAAGTCGTAACAAGGTTTCCGTAGGTGAACCTGCGGAAGGATCATTATCGTGCTTCAAAAAAAAAAATAACACAACAATGATTGATTGATTTATTACTATTACTATAGCTACCATATTATATTATGATACTATATTAACAACATATTGTTGTATGTGTGTTACCCTAATAGATTGATTTTAATATGGTAGTAGCTTAAATAATAATAGTAATAATATGAATAAACGGTGATATTCGTTGGTGTCTATACTTTATCCAAGTTATCGCCTAACCGTCGATAACAATGAAGATAAAGCGATAGCTTAATTAATTTTATCATTTAATTAAGTAGACTTAATAAGCATTTATGCTAGATATGCTACCAACAAAAAAAAAAAACATACACAAATTATATATATTATAGTAATAAATTTTTAACTCTTAGCGGTGGATCACTTGGCTCATGGATCGATGAAGAACGCAGCTAGCTGCGATAAATAGTGCGAATTGCAGACGCATTGAGCACAAAGATTTCGAATGCACATTGCACCATTGGGTTGATTCCCGATGGTACGTCTGGTTGAGGGTCAATTAAAAGTAATAATTGTATTTGCATTGATTTATATTTATTTATTATTATCAAATAATTTTTGTTTGTTTGTTAAAAGATTATTTGATGATGATGAATGAAAAAAGATGATTGA